GGGATCCCTTCAGGAGAGCCCATACGCTGACAGTACTGTTTCTGATGACATGTGCCCTCATATATGTGGCTATTTTTGAGCCCATCTCTAATGATACCAATTATAATATAAAACGGTATTTAAAATGATTTAATGATTTTGTGTTCAAATGCGGTACTAATTGTGTGATAATGTTTCAGAGGTATAATCGCTTGTGCGCTGACATTCATATTGGTTGGTGTGACACAAATACCTGACGGCCCGTTCCGTCGCCCACATCCAGGTTTGTATCCTATGTTAGCACTAATATCTCTCAAGACCTTAAGTTTGGCTCACATTTTATCACTGAATTTCATGCAACCATTGCTTCAAATAGTAATTGAGATAAACTTTTCGTAAGACATCATCTGTTAATCTTGTAATTATTTGATATATTGTTTGCTACACTTTTCACTTGTCTTTCACTCCCATTGCTTTCTTTTCTATAAAGTGTTTATTCTTTTCCCTAATTAATAATTAGTAATTATATATACAAATTATAAATGATTTTTCCTTCAATTTGACAGCTCTTTGGAGATTTGTGTTCAGCGTTTCGGTTGTCTATGAAATGGCGCTAATATTTCTATTATTTCAGGTTTTAAAACATGACATTCAATATTGAATATGAATTTTAAAAACTGGTGTTATTTTTCATTAGACACCAAACGACGCGCGAAAGCTATTAAAACATATCGACACTAATTTGGGGAAACCATTAGTGGAAAGAGATTACGGCGGGAACTGTAAACTATACGATCCCGACGTTCCCGACGACCCTTTCCATAATATTTGGGTATATTTTAAAAGTTTTGATTTCAGATTAGTTTTTAAACTTTACATTAATTTTAGGATAAGTTTGATCTGTTTATTCCCTCGCATTTCTTCGGCTGGTGGCTGAAGGTATGCTTTAGACTAACCATTGGTTAAAATAGTTAATTAATGATTACTTTGTATATTGCGGTTGCAGACCATTTTGATTAGGGACTGGTGGCTGTGTATTGTGAATAGCATTATGTTTGAACTGTTGGAATACACATTAGAGCATCAGTTGCCCAACTTTTCCGAGTGCTGGTGGGATCACGTGAGTCTCATCTCACTTCACAAATGATCAGTTCTTTGCTTTAATAGTATTTTATTATAATTTGATCCAAAAGTGGATTTTAGACGCTTTGATATGCAATGGATTTGGCATATATTGTGGGATGAAAACACTCACTTATCTATCAATGAAACCATACAATTGGCGCGGACTCTGGGATATACCCACATATAGGGGTAAATTGAAACGAATTGTGGCTCAATTCGGACCACACGGTTGGATCCAATTTGATTGGAGGCCCACTTCCAGTCTCGACCGGTGGATATCCGTCCTTCTCATCGCATTTGTTGTATGTTTTCAGCAAATACTCTATTGATTCATACGATTGTATAATTGTTTTGTATTTTGTT